AAAAGAATTGACCTCCACTGAATGATTGGATATGTCTATGGGGGGCGAGTGTGCCCATGACCATGTATAAGGTTGGCAGACTATGTTCTCACAAGTGTATTTGTATGTGTTGTAAGAATAACTCCAACTGTACAGTAAAACTTACAAGGGACATGGTTGTGGTGACTTCTTGGCCACAGCCAGTAACCTGGAGGGGGTGAGTAGTTGGACCTGTGGGTTGGAGACCATGGTCTCAGGGGACATCGAGCTCAATTGGCATAGCATACTACACAAAAATGTCAGTCGACATCTTACTCTGGTGAGTAGCGACTGGGATCTTTGAGCTTGCAAGCAGCTATCTAGACGCAAAGATGGCTCTCTCTGTCCACAGCAAAGAAGAATGAAGAACACCAAAGACACATGGAAACAATTAGTTGTAGTAGACCAACTAATGGGGACTGGCAGACCACGTGATCTGCAGCCTATGTGACCATGAGATGAGAAGAACTAGACGGTGCCCAGCCCCCACTGCCAACTACTCAGAAGGGGCTTGATGTAGTCTATCCTGGATAGAGTGGGAAAACAATGTGGAACAAAACCCAAAATCATTTTTAAAAGGTCAGGTTTGCTGGTCGGACAGAGCCTGGTGAGACCCCTGAGACCATGGCCCCTAGCTACCCTTCAGGTCTGTAATTGAACTAATTCCTGTTGCTTCCAGCAGAATAATAGATAGACATATGTGCTGAACATTTACATCAGGTAGATAAGCTACTTGGAGTGATCATTCACCGGAGAACAGAAGGGCAGTGGGAGACAGCTAGGGGTGGGGTGGTACCAGGAGTGCATCAGAGGGAATCAGGGAAGAGGTCACTGTGGTGGGGAAGTGGGGAGAGAGCGGGAACGTTGTGGGGAGTTGCAGGCAATGTCATGAGACCAAATGTGTAGGAACTGTTGTATGGAAAATGAATTTGCTCCGTAAACTTTCAGCTGAATCACAATAACAATTTGAAAAAGAGAAAAAAAATGACCTACAGATAAGTCTCATGTCAAAAATACTCACTATCATCCACTATCATCTGACTCCTAGTGACCCCCATTGCGTTTCTAACGCAGTGATCCTTATAGAAGTAGATTGCCCCAGCTTCCTTTGGCAGAGGTGCTGGTGTGTTTGAACTGTGAACCTTCTGGTTAGCAGTCAAGTGCCTCAGGCAATGTATCACGAATCTCTTCTTCTTTTCCAAGACAGGGGTTACAGACAACTGCTTTTTTTGAGGAGTGGATATTCCCACAGTCAAAATGTAAGGAGAGAGACTCACTATGCAGGGATGGGGACCACACCAGGACGGTGAGAGGAACCTTTGAAAGGATGTGAGAGGGCTCCACAAGATGAGCAAAGTCTAGAAAATATTTGCTGTCTTTGGGAGTAGCTGCCGGGTGGACGCCAGCCCTGGGCTCTCTATCCAACGTGCGGCAGAGCACAAGTGTGCTCTGTGCGGTGAGCAGACTGACATTTCAGAAGCTGATCACCAGGCCTCACTTCTGAGGTGCCCCTGGGTGGGTTTCATCAGCTGAACTCTTGGATAGCAGTTGAGTGCATATCCATTTGTCCAACCAGGAAATAAACTGTTGTGGTGTTGTTGCTGTTAGGTGCCACTGAGGTGGCTTTGACTCATAGCGACCCCATGGACAACAGCACGAAACACTGCCCAGTCGTGCACCACCCTCACAATCCTTCCTATGCCTGAGCCCATTGTTGAAGCCACTGTAAGAATTCATCTTGTTGAAATCAGCTTGGACTAGATAATTAACAAAGAGATTAATTACTCATCAGCAGTGCTTCATTTTCATAAATCTTCTTTCTCAGCTTATAAATATCACAACTCATTCTTCATCTTTCAGAAGAGATGGCTCTTATGTGATTTTTAACATTCAAACCATCCCCTTGCGCAATAACTTAGAGCATCTATAGAAGTAGGGTTATTAGTTGTCCATTTCCTTCATGTTCCATGTTTAGAAAAGTGTTTCTTACCTTTTCTCATCAATTGTCCTTTGTTGTGATCAAGAATGGTATCTGGTACGTTGGAAAAATTGCTCATTTTGTTATCTTTCATGACCTTAAAAGATACATTCTTGACAACTGAGTTGAATTCTTCAGGACTTAGCTTCTTCCCCAAGAACTCACTTATCTTCTCGACACTGGCTCTTATATCCTAGAAGAAGAAACACAAGAGAGAGGACAAGAAAGTAAAGTACATTCAGGAAGAAAAACAAGTGGAGTCAGGGGTAATAAAACTCAGTAGATACAAAATGAGGAAAAACATGAAGAGGATGAGTTGGTTGCATTCAGCTGGAAAGTGATCCAAACTGGGTAAAAATGTTGTTGCTGTTGTTGTTATGTGCCGTTGAGTCAGACCTGACTCATAGTGACCCGTCCTTGGGTTTCTGAGGCAGTATCACTACAGAAGTAGATTGCCCCATCTTCCTTCCAAGGAGTGGCTGGTGGGTTTGAATCGCCAGCCTTCTGGTTAGCAGTCAAGTGCCTTAGGCACTATGCTACCAGAGCTCCTTGGGTAAACATAAGCTGAAGAAAACAATATAAAAAGAAATGGGATATTTGGGAGCAGTGACGATGAGGAAATGATAATAACCAGTACATGAACAATAACATGACCAACATTGATTGCCCATGTGATGGAGTCCAGGACCCTTTAAAAATCACACGGACTCCTAGGAGTCGTAAAAGTAATCTTCAGAATGACCCTAGACATTGTGAGATCACTGGGTGGCACAGACATGTTGTGTCATGCTTGACTCCTAACCCAAATCTTGGCAGTCAAAACTCATCCAGTGGGACCAAGGAAGAAAGGTGTGATGACCTCCTTTGTAAAGATTACAGCCAAGAAAATGATATGGAGCTCAGCCCTACTCTGTAACACATGGGGTTCCCATGAGTCTTAATTGACTCCATGACAATGTGGTTTCCTTGTTGTTCTCATAGTATTAACAGCTCCCACCAAATTCATATCATCAAGCCCTTTTTGGTGCCCACATTACATCACCAAAAAAGAGAAAATCCTGAGGGCATTGAAGAGATAGGCTCGTCTTACATAAGGAGGAGATTGAAGGTGAGTCTTACATAAGGAGGAGATTGAAGGTCAGATAGACCATAGCCCTATGTGGTTCAGTCACTGGGATGACCCCTGATGGAAAGGGTAGACTAGGAACAGGGAAGAATGGGCTGGTATTAACAGACAAACACAAGGTAGTGCCTACAGGTAACAGTGGAATCCTATTCAGCTTAATGGAGCTCTGCTGGTGCAGTACCTAACCCGAAGGTTGGTGATTCAAAACCACCAGGTGCCCTGTGGAAGGAAGACAGGGCAATCTACTTCCATAAAGCTTACTACCTCCAAAACCAAATGCAGGTCTCTATGGGTGGAGATCAACTTGATGGCATTGAGTTTGATTTTTTACATATAGAGAGAGCAATGAAGACTTGATGCATGCCACAATATGGGTGAAGCTTGCCAATTTTATGCTGAGAGATATGCCAGTTGCAAATCATAATTCTGTATGATCTCACTTATATGAAATAACACGTCTATCAAATATAGGAGCTCTGGTAGCGTAGTGCCTAAGGCACCTGACTGCCAACCAGAAGGCTGGGGGTTCAAACCCACTAGCCACTCCTCAAAAGGAAGATGGGGCAATCTACTTCCATAGTGATATTGTCTTGGAAACCCAAGGAGGGGTCGCTATGAGTCGGGCTAACTTGACAGCACATAACAACAACAACAACAAAATGTAAGATTATTAGTTGATAAAATAGAAGGAAAAAAGGGAACAAATGTAGCTTAGCTTAGGGCCATTGACTTTATGTTAAAGATGATGGAATGATTTGGACAAGGAAAGCTGCAAAGGTTGTGCACTCTAGGGAATGGTCAATAACAATGAGTTGGGCAGGGAGAAATTACTGCTTGCTGAAGATTTTGCTCTTTATATTGTTGCCATAAGAATTGTTTTAAACAGAGGAGGAACAAATGAACAAATGGAGGGAAGTTATGCTACTAAGAAATGGGGAGAGAGCGAGTGAATTCTTAGTTTACCTGATGCAGCTCCTCATAGGATATCATCAGGAAATTCTCTTTTCCTCTCATTGACAGCCAGCCACGAACGTGGTCAAACCATGATCCATAGATCACTGCAAGACAAGTGGGAGGAAAGTGGCAGAGTCACTGGTGTGTGTTCACTTCTGTCTACATTTGTTTCCCACTGTTTGCATGTCATAAGTATTTGAAGGGTCACTGAGTGAAGTCGTGGAAAGTTTTTTCCTTATCCCCAATTTATGGAGATATAATGAAAAACAAAACCCCAAATCACTGCAATTGAGTGGATTCTGACTCATAGCAAGTCCCCAGTGAGCAATGGAATCCTACAATCATCACATCAATGGCAAAGCTCTTGGAACCGTGTAAGATCAACTGTTTTGGAGAGTTTCAAATCTTTGTGACTGGGAAATGGTATTTGTAATTTGGAAAGGAATCGAGTCATATGGAGCAGTAAGCTTGAACTCAATGTATTTTGTGGTCGTTCCTTGACAGCCCCACCTCCTCCGCCCTGGCTTGGACTGTGTGTCAACTCACGTGCGTGCAGAGCTGGACAATGAAAAGAAGATTGAAGAAGAAGTGACACATTCACATTTTGGTGTTTGGTGAAGATTATTGAATATACCATGGAGTTCCCAAAGATTGAACAAATCTCCTTTGGAGAAAATACAGGCAAAATGCCCTTTATTAGCAAGGCTGGGGACACCTTGACCTCCTCACTTCAGATATGTCATCAGGAAAGACCCATCACTAGGAAAGGACATCGTCATTGAGAACGTTTCCCAGCAAAACCAAGGGAGGCCCTCAATTTGCAACCTTGGGCTGAAACATGTCAACAACAGTCATGAAGACTGCGCAATACGGGTGAACATTTCCTTGCATTATATGTAAGATCTCCCTGCATGGAGCCCACTCATTGACATCTATCAACTACAACAAGAAACACAGGTTTGGATGACCATGTGGTTGTTTAAACCATGAGAT